TTGCTCTGTTTGCACCTGTTACATATGAGGAGTGGAGCCTTAGTCATTCACCAGGGTGGGGCCACCCAGGTAGCTGGTTTGTGACACTGTATGTGGGGGCAGGGTCAGAAAGGGACACTAGTGGTCCCCTCTGGCTGCTTCCTGCGGCTGGGGCCTGCGTTGTCCGTCTCACTGCTCACTGCTTTGCCGGTTTATTTGCGCACGAATGTGTGACCGTACTCAGCCCTCAGTGGGTCATCCCACTGTTACTCCACACCTGGGATCCGCCCACTGCTGCCTGAGCACCTGGGTCATGTGCCCAGGTCGGTCTGGTGGATATTTCCTGCCCGACCCCACTCTGCTGCTGGCTCTGCCCCTCTTACCAGTTTGGCTGAAGGGTTCGTTGTTGTCAGACTTCCGTGTAGTTCAATTTTCTGTGGTTTGGCTGCGTTTTTGTTACTAAAACTTTGTTGTTTTTAAACTTGGTTGTGCGAGAAGGGCCAGTGCTTCCACCTATGCCTCCATCTTGGCAGAAGTCCCAACTAGCCACTTTTTAGAAAGGATAGAAAGAAGATAAGACTCTTGTCTCTTCCCTCCAACAGGGAGGGAAGGATTGCGAGTTATATCTAGAAAGCAGTTATGGTGTGAGAGGTCAGATTCTGAGGTAGGGTAAGAGTAAAGGAAAGTAAATAGGTGTAGTGTTTGACAGAATAGAGTTGACCCCTAAAGTAATAGAGTTCAGCAAACCATGAAGTGGGCTGAGATCTGGGAGGGGTGTTGTGTAGTATTTACAAGAGTATGGAACAGCTATTATTTACAGTAATATTAGAGCAACAATCATATAACAGAATCTATGAGATCTAGATACCAAGAATAGGGAGTATCAGTCCTTCAGTAGTGTGCTAATGGAACACAAGTGAAGTGAAGGACAGTAAATTAGCCATACACACTGAATGAGAGGACTGGGGAAACCTATCATACAATACAATATAACCAACCAAGCAAAGAAGACTAAACAGAAAGAAGAGCAATAGAAAAATATTATTCAAATAAAAGATGTAAGAATATTGAAAAAATAATAATACCAATATGCAATATCTTCCAGGTTCTCTGTAATAGCAAAGTTAAATTTGTCTCTGTGACTCAGCTGTTGGGATGCCCCCTCTTTGGATCTAACTCTGATCTTTTCACAGTTCCGGGGGTTTTTGTCTGTTTTGTGGGTATTTAAAAGAAAAGCAGAGTAAGAAAGGTAGAAGACATAAAATTGGAAAAAAAGAAGGAATAATATAAAAAAGAAAGAAAGAGAAGCAAAAGGAATTGAGAGATAAAAGTAACAAAAATAAAAAACTACTTAAAAATATCAAACACACACACACACACAGTAACCTCTTGCTTGTTTCAAACTGGCCAAACCAGTTTTTCTGTTCTTGCTGGCTGCAGCAGCCTGAGGGGTGGGTTTACAGATGTGGGCAGGTCTCCTGAGGCATATGCTCACTCCAAGTTTACCGGTGTGGTCTTCATGTGTCCAGAGGCACGTACTCTCTCTGGTCCTCTGGTGTGGTCCCTGGGTGGTCCACAAAGCTCTCTTCCCCCAAGCCTTGTGGAAGGCACCATTAGGGTCCAGAGAGATGTTTTATTTTTATTTTTGATTTTAGAGAGAGGGAATGGAGGGAGAAGAGAGTGAGAGAAATATTGATGTGAGAGAGAAACATTGATTGACTGCCTTCCATCAGTAGTACAACTGGGAATGGAACCTGAAACCCATTCATGTGCCCTGACCAAGAATCAAATCAGCAAGCTTTTGTTTTGTGGGATGACCAACTGAGCCACACCAGCGGGGGGGTGGGGCAGGGCATCCAGGTAGATCTCGAAATGGCATAAACCTTCCCCAAACTGGCCATACCTCACTTATCATCACTGAGAAGTGATTGAATTGGCCTACATTGCTGCCTTTTTGCTTTGTTTCCACTCAGCTGAGCAAGGCAGAGCTGGACAATTCTCCATTACTGAACAATCCTACCTTGAGGATTGCTATTTCTATAGCTGTGCTTCTCAAATCTTCCCTGACTAGAAAGTGTCTTCTATGCCTGTTTGAATTCTAGCCACCTTCCAGGGCCAAATTATATATTCCCTGCCCAGAAAGGTCTTCTCTCATCATCCCAGGTCAAGCTGATGGTCCCTCTGAACTCTAGTAGGAACAATTATCCATTGATTGAGACCTTCAGTAGCTTTATTTCTGGACATCATATTGGTTAGAATCACAGGCTTTTGTCAAGACACACCTGGACTTCAATCTTGGTTCTACCATTTCCCAGATTTATACCATTAGGCAACTTACACCACCTTTCTGAACCTTAATGACCTCCTTCACAAAATTAGATAATTTCTTCCTGACTGGGCTGTATAAAGGTCAAATAAAATGTCTTAAAATCTATTACATGCCAAAAAAAAGAAACATTTTAGAAATAATGATAATTAGAAATCAAGGTTAAATAGAAAATTATTCTTGAAATAATGTTATAATAGGAGAATTACAAAACTGTAGGTAAAGTAAGAAAAATCCATGTGTTTGTGTGAGGTGAGTGTTGGACCCATTAAAGTTGTCCCAGAGGCCATTTATACTACCCTCATTTTTTTTGGATCCTCTTTTCTTCTTGTTCTGTGTGGTTGTTTTTTGCTTTCTTATATTTCAGATCATTCATTTGATTTTTGGCTTCATCTACTCTATTGTTGTTTCCATGCAAATTGTACTTTATTTCAATTAGCGTATCCTTTGTTTCCAACTGGGTCTCTTTTATGCTGCTGAAGTCCTCACTAAGTTCCTTGAGCATCTTTATAAACAGTGTTTTGAACTCTGCATCTGATAGATTGCTTATCTCCATTTTGTTTAGTTATTTTTCTGGAGTTTTGAGCTGTTCTTTCATTTGGGCCATGTTTCTTTGTGTCCTTCTTTTGGCGGGCTCCCTGTGTTTTTTTCTATGTATTAGGTAGAACTGCTTTGATTCTGTGTCGTGGTAGAGTGGCCTAATGTACTAGGTGTCCTGTAGGGTCTAGTGGCACAGCCTCCCCTATCACTGAAGCTGGATACTCGAGGTCTACCCTTTGTGTGGGCTGAGTACACCCTCCTCTTGTAGGTGAACCTTGATTGCTGTTGGCAGATCAATGAGAGTGATTTAACCAGGCCAGTTGGGTATGAGGACTGGCTGTGAGCACTGACCATCAACCTCTGCCCTCTGGGGATGATCAGCTGTACAGGGGCAGGGTGGCAGTGGTCCTGTGTGGTCGGTAGCTGTTCACTGGGTGCATTGGTCCTGGGGTTTCCCTGAGTGGCACAGACCAACGTCAGCCCCTACCTTATTTTTTGCCCAGAGCACCCTGCCTGAGATGCGAAGGAATCTGAGATGGCTGCTACTTATTTCAGGCTTGGAGATTCCCAGGTGAAGCCAAGCTGTGACTCTAATCTAGCTGCCACTAGGGCTCACTCAAGCCAGCTGTTGCTTATTTAATAGGACTTAGGAGCCAACACCAGCCATCCTTACAGAAAAGCAGCTTGGGTGGGCCTGTAATTTGGGTGGGGTAGAGCCTCCATGGATCTTCAAGATGGGTCACACAGTATTTAGATAGGTTGATGAAGTCTCAGATATGGCACCAAGCCTGCTAGCCCTTTGTGGGGAGGGCTCAGCAAGGGGACAATGGCCTCTGCTTGCCCTCATGCCAGATACTTCAGTCTCTCCCTGTGTAACACTTGTGCCCTTCAGGCTGCTACCCTAGTGCTGGAGCTCAGAGGGAGCTAGTCTGAGTAGGTGAGTCCATGTGTGGGTTCTTTAAGAGGAACTGCTTAGGGCTCCATCAGCCTCCTCCACTGACTCAATCCCTGCTGGTTTTCACAGCCAGAAGTTGTGGGGACTTACCTTCCTGGCACTGGAATCCTGGGCTGGGGAGCCTGGTGTGGGGCTGGGACTCCTCAGTTCTGAGATATTCCTCCCCAATTTTTATCCATGTGGGTGTGGGGCCAGCCAATTCCATATCTGTGCCCCTCCTACCAATCTGGATGGATGTGGTTTCTTCAGTTCTGTAGTTGTCAGACATCCATTCAATTCGATTTCTGGTGTTCCTGAGTGATGGTTGTTTTATATTTGTAATTTTGATATAGTTGTGCAAAGAGGTGACCCATGTATGCCTACATAGCCATCTTGACCAGAAGCTCCTGGCTTCCTTTCTTAAAGAAAGATGTATTAGGATGTCTCCTGGTCATGAACGTAATAGGTAAAATTAACTTTGTAAAAGAAAGGCAGTGTTTATAAAAGAAAGGCATCATTTTATGGCAAAATGTATTAATATTAAAATGATGAGCCCTGACTGGTGTGGCTCAGTGGCTTGAATGCCAGCCTGTGAACCAAAGGGTTGCTTGTTCAATTTCCCATCTACAGCACATGCCTGGGTTGCAGGCCAGGTTCCCAGTAAGGGGCATGGAAGGCAACCACATATTGATGTTTCTCTCCCTCTCTTTCTCCCTCCCTTCCCCTCTCTCTAAAAATAAATAAATATTTTTTTAAATGATGAGTAAAAGAATGAAGAGTTTTCAGTGTATTAAATATTATGATTATTTTGTTTTTGTCACAGTATATAGCCCTAATAATCAATGGTTGCAATTATTTATATTATATTGGTAAGTTGCAAGTTACAAATATCTGTTTGGTTAACATTGGCTTTACTTATTTTCTTTGAATAAATTGAATGAAACAAGTGCAAACTGGGAGTGAAGTTCTTGTCCCAGCCCTACCATTAAGTAGCTAGACTTTAACTCCTGGGCTTATTCTTCCCCTCAGAAGTTGAGAGGACTGGACAAGATCTAACTTTGATCATGTATAGTTCATTAAAATTATAGTTTCTTATTTAAAAATGTACATTTGTATTGATTTTTCCACTTGAAAATACTAATAGTAAGTTAGTTGGCCTATGTTGTAAAATGTTCATCTTAGACTTATATAATATTAATATAATTAAACTTTTTTCCACAGAGAGACCTCTCTCCCCAAAGGCTGTCAAAGGATTTGAAACTATTCCACTTACCAAGAATTATTATTCCGTGGTGAGTGATGAGATGATGAACAAAATTTTTCTTGACTATATGGAACCACTTCACTTGTCAAACCACTGATATGTTGAGGTGACACAAATGAAAGACCAGATACAGTTGTGTTATAAGTGCCTAATGTCAGCTGCATAACAATATATATCCACTGTACTGAAAAATTCAAGTATAGCACAAAGATTTAGACCACAGGTAGAAAACACAAGGCCCACGAGCCGAATCTGACCCTCCACCCTGTTTTATGCAGCCTGGCACCTTGTTTCTACCTAGCAGCAGTGCTGAGCTTTCACTTAACTGTTGAGTAGTTACATTTATACAGTCCTAAAATTACACTCAGCCTTTTGGAGGCAATCACAAGGCTGATGTGGCACCCAGTAAAAATGAGTTTCACACCACTGATTTCGAGCAAAGCTTATTAAATTGCAGTGAAAGAGAAATTGCAGACATAATGGGAAAATTTAGCAGTTTGGTCACCAACTTTGTCACAAATTTGTCACTGAATAGCCTTTCCACATATTTAGAAGGTAAGTTCCAAAGTTCCTTTAATCCACTACATTTTCAGTGATGGCATACTGTGATTTTATTTTAGAAAAAATAAATTCATTATGATATTCTCTGAAATATTACTAACTTTGTTCTTGAGGGGAACCTAAAAGGAAGGCTGCCCTTTGGTACAGAGGGAGGAATTAAATGGCTCTGGCTTGAACACAGATATATCAAAATATATTAGTTATAAATAGGGCATGTGCAATACTCAATAGTGAGTATTGAGTAGGCCAATACTCAATAGTGAGTAGGCCAATACTGTTTGAAAAACAAATAATATCCTTTTCCTTAATCTGCCCTCTGCTTTCTTTCATGTCTCCTTTCCTGACTTGTCCTACTCACTAATGAAAAGGTCAAGTCATGATAACCTCTGAGTTTCCTTGACTGCTAGTCGCATCACCCCTTCCCCTGCCCTGCAGAAGTACAATTTCACTTTTTACCCAGTGTTCCATATGCATTTGTACAACATGGTCTTTTCATTTTGTGCATGGATGAACAGTTTTGAAACATCTCTATACACTTGGTTTGAAAAAATGAATTTCGACCAGGTGCAGCAAGTCGGACTTTCATGAAGATGGAGGCATAGGTAGACACATTGTGCCTTCTCACACAACCAAGTTTAAAAACAACAAAGTTTTAGCAACAAAAATGCAGCCAAACCACAGAAAACTGAACTATACGGAAGTCTGACAACAATGAACCATTCAGCCAAACTGGTAAGAGGGGCAGAGCCAGCAGCAGAGTGGGGTTGGGCAGGAAATATCCACCAGATCGACCTGGGCACGTGACCCAGGTGCTCAGGCAGCAGTAGGCAGATCTCAGGTGTGGAGTAACGGTGGGAAGACCCACTGAGGGCTGAGCACGGTCACACATTTGTGTGCAAATAAACTGGCGAAGGAGCGAGCAGTGAGACGGACAACGCAGGCCCCAGCCGCAGGAAGCAGCCGGAGGGGACCACTATTGTCCCTCTCTGACCCTGCCCCCACATACAGTGTCACAAACCAACTACCTGGGTGGCCCCACCCTGGTGAATAACTAAGGCTCCACTCCTCATACATAACAGGTGCAAACAGAGCAAAACATTATTGCTCAAGAACAGCTCAAAGCCCCAGAGCCTATAACTCTAAGTGACGAAGAAATTGCCAAACTTTCAGATGCACAGTTCAAAACACTGGTAATCAGGATGCTCACAGAACTGGTTGATTTTAGTCACAAATTAGAGGAACATATGAAGGCTAAACTAATTGAAAGGAAGGGAAATTCACAGGAAACCAATAGTAATGGAAAGGAAACTGGGACTCAAATCAAGGGAGTGGACCAGAAGGAAGAAAAACATGACCAAACAGAAAAGGATGAATAAACAAGAATTCAAAAAAAATGAGGAGAGGCTTAGGAACCTCCAGAACATCTTTAAATGCTTCAACATCTGAATTATAGGGGTACCAGAAGGGGAAGAGGAACAGCCATGAGTGGAAAAGTTATTTGAACAAATAATAAAGGAGAACTTCCCCAATCTGGCAAAGGAAATAGACTTCCAAGAAGTCCAGGAAGCTCAGAGAGTCTCAAAGAAGTTGGACCCAAGGAGGAACACACCAAGGCACATCATAATTACATTAATCAAGATTAAAATGAAGGAGAGAATCCTAGAAGCATCAAGAGATAAAAAGACAATCACCTACAAAGGAGTTCCCATCAGACTGTCAGCTGCTTTCTCAAAAGAGACCTTGCAGGCAAGAAGGGGCTGGAAAGAAGTATTTGAAGTCATGAAAGTCAAGGACCTCCATCCAAGATTGCTCTATCCAGCAAAGTTTACATTTAGAATGCAAGGGCAGATAAAGTGCTTCTCAGATAAGGTCAAGTTGGAGGGGTTCATCATCACCAAGCCCTTATCATATGAAATGTTAAAGGGACTTATCTAAGAAAAAGAAGATAAAAAATATGCACATTGAAAAAACAGCAAACTGACAGTTATTAACAACCACACCTAAAACAAAAGCAAAGTAAGCAAACAACTAGACCAGGAACAGAACCACAGAAATGGAGATAACACGGAGGGTTAGCAACAGGGGAGTGTGTGTGTGGGGGGGAGGTACAGAGAATAAGTAGCATAGAATGTAGGTAGGAAATAGATAGGGGGAAGGCAAGAACCGTATGGAAATGTAGAAGCTAAAGAACTTATGACACATTGACATGAACTAAAGGGGGGAAAGTGGGTTGGAGGGTGTGTGTAGGGTAGAAGAATAATGAAGGGGGGAAATGGGTCAACTCTAATAGCATAATCAATTATATATATGTATAGAATGTCTTGAGTAGTGCATAATGGCCTTTGAAGGAGCTTTAGAGATTTCATGTAACTAGTCCTGAATTATTGAGACCAGTTAGACACATTGCTGTAACTAGATAGGAATGTGAAAGGATTTGGGTTGGTTGTTGGTGTTTTGTTATTTCATATTTCTTTTGCTTTGAGTATTTAAGCAAATTTTCAGAGGCAATTAATTCAAAATATGTTCCAAGTTTTCCGATTATTCTCCCAATTTGTTGATTCCCTTAGACAATCAAAAAATTGTAGCCCATCCACACTATTTAGAGACTTGAAAAATCAAGTTTCCCACATATAAGTTATCCCTAAATCTTTTTAAAAATTACATTTTATTGATTATGCTATTGCAGTTGCCCCAATTCTCTCCCTTTGCCCTCCTCTACGCAGCCTGCCCCCACTCCCTCAGGCAATCCCCTCACTGTTCTCAATGTCCATGAGTCATGTGTATATGTTCTTTGACTACTCTATTCCCTAGCTATACTTTACATCCCCATGGCTATTCTTTAACTACAAACCTGTACTTCTTAATCCCTTTATCTTTTCCATCCATTCCTTAAACTCCCCTCCCATCTGGCAACCATCAAAACATTCTCTGTATTGATGGCTCTGTTTCTGTTCTGATTGTTCGTTCATTCTATTTTTAGATTAAATTGTTGATAGATATGTATTTATTGCCATTTTATTGTTCATAGTTTTTAGCTTAAAGAAGACCATTTAATGTTTCATATAGTATTGGTTTAGTGGTAACAAACTCTAGCTTTTCCTTATGTGAGAAGTTCTTTATCCTTCGGCTCAAAATAATATCTTTGCTCAGTAGAGTAATCTTAGCTGTAGGTTTTTGCTTTTCATGACCTTCAGTATTTTTTTGCCAATCTTTACTAGCCTGCCAAGTTTCTTTTCAGAAATCAGCTGACAGTCTTATGGGAGCTCCCTTGTAGTAACCAAGAAAACTGCTTTTCTCTTGCTACTTTTAACATTTTTCTTTGGCTTTAACCTTTGGCATTTTAATTGGTGTGTCTTGGTGTGGATCTCTTTGGGTTCATCTTGTTTGGAACTCTTCCTGGACTTGTATGTCTATTTTTTTTCACCAAGTTAAGGGAGTTTCCTGTCATCACTTTTTCAAATGGGTTTTCAATTTCTTGCTCTCTCTCCTTTCCTTCTGGCACCCCCATGATGTGAATGTTAATATGCTTGAAGTTGTCCCAGAGGTTCCTTACACTATCTTCATGTTTTTGGATTCTTTTTTATTCCTGATCTTCTGATTGGTGGTTTTCTGCTTCCTTATATTCTACCTCCCTGATCTGATTCTTGGCTTCATCCACTCTAATGTTGATTCCCTGTAAATTGTTCTTTATTTCAATTAGTGTATCCTTTGTTTCTGACTAGATTTTTTTAATACTATCGACGTCTTCACTAAATTCCTTCAGCATCCTTATAACAAACGTTTTGAACTCTGTATCTAGTACATTGCTTATTTCCATTCCATTCATTCTTTTTCTGGAGTTTTGTTCTGTTCTTTCATTTGGGTCATATTTATTTCCTCATTTTGGTAGCCTCCCTGTGTTTGTTTCTATGTATTAGGTAGATCTGCTATGTTTCCTAGGCTTGGTAGAGTACCTTAATGTAGTAAGTGTCCTGTAGAGTCCAGTGGCACAGCCTCCCCTATTTCCAAAGCTGGGTACTCAAGGTGTACCCATCATGTGGGTTGTATACACCATCCTCTTGTAGTTGAGCCTTGATTGCTGTTGGCATGTCCAAGGTCAGCCACCAACTGTGTTCTTCCTGGAGTCACAAGACCTAAGCTACGGAGTGATCTGCAGATGGCTGCTACTTGTGCTGGTCTTTGAAGTGCCCATGTGAGTCCAAGATGTGAACCATGTCCAGCTTCTGCTAACACCAGGCCTGGGGCAATTAGGAAGAGGTATGGGACTTGCTGACGCCAGATGCTGACTGTTTGAAAGAATTTAGGAGAATTTGAAGAATGGGTCAATAGAAAACATTTGTTTGGAAAAGGCACTGGAAACAGCTTGGGTGGGCCTGAAGTTTAGTGGGTCAGGGCCTCAGAGAATCACCAGGGTGGGGCAGTGTGAGCCAGGTTGATGGAGTCTAAGACATGGTGCCCCCCATCTAA